ATGCATGTGAGAAGATATGGATAAGGAAACATATGAAGGAGAAGGAAGAAGAGCAGGATAAGGAGAATGTGGATGAGGAAGATGAAGATGATGATGGTGAGGATGATGATGAGGAGGAAGAAGAGGAGGAGGAAGAAGAGCAGGAGGAAGAGACGGAGGAGAAGGAAGAGGAAGAAGAGGAGAAAGAGGACGAAGAGGACGAAGGTAAAGAAGAAGAACAAGAAGAATCAATGAGAGATGATAAAGAAAGCGGAAAATAAAAGGAAGACGAAGAAAGGAGCAACGAAACTTTAACGGAAAGAGAAGCACAGGAAACATGAACAAAAGGCCAAGACAGCCATGAACAAGACGACAGGATCACAAAACCTTAAAGAAACAAGACAAAGTTGATAGCTCGTTTATAAGGCGGAAAAGAGGAAATGGGAAGAAGACAAAGAAGAAGAAGGAAGTAAAAAAAAAACAAAAAAAAAAAAAAACAATAAGAATAAGATTAAGGATATAGGAGTAAAAGAAGAATACAGATAAGACTAAGAATTAAAAAAGCAAAAGAATAAGAATAAGAAGTAAGATGATGATAAGAACAAAAAGGAGAAAGTAGAAGAATAAGAAGAAAAAAGTAAAAGGATAAGAAGAAGAAGAAAGAAGGAAAATGATAATAACAAAAATAAGCAAAAGAAGAATAAGAAGAAAAAAGTAATATAAGACAAGGATGATGAAGAAGGAAACCGTAACAGAAAAAAAGAACACAAAGAAGAAGAAGAAAAATAGAAGAAAAAGAAGAATGAGACAAAAGAGATTACAAAGAAGAAAAAAAGGAAAAAAGAAAAGAAAAAGAAAATTATGAAAGAAGATAACAAAGAAGAACATTAAGGAAACAAAACGAAAAGGAAACGAAAAAGAAAAAATATATATATATAAAAGATTAATCCATAAATAGCACAACCAAATAGGATCCACGTAGCAAGGCCACTTCAACCATCTTAGCAAGGAAAGTACACCCCCATTACACAGAAAGTACACCTCTAATGACTCTCTCCCCGTGTCCTCGCCTCCCATTCTCGACCTAACGTACCCGCGCCCATAACGACCCCATGGTAAGAGGCAGCTGAAACAGGCGTTGACAGTGACCGAGTACCCTGGTAGCCTTATAGATAGGGGACTATAGATATATAATGGATATAGATGTGTAGATATGTATTAGACGAGATGGATGTTATAAATCTTGGAAGGTAAGGGTGGGGGGAGGGAAGAGATCGTGTGTGGGGGTGGGGGTGGGTGGGGGAAGGGTGATGGGGTGGGGGTGGGTGGGGGAAGAATGATGGGGGGGGGGGAAGGGGTTGGCTGTGGGATGGAGGATGATGAAGAAGTTTGTGAGAAGAATAAAGATTAAGCAAGGCTCTCATTCGCCCTAGGTAATAATAAGAAATTGTGATATGACAGAGAAAGAGATACATAAACAAAATTAAGGATGGTTGGAAAGATATATATATACATACATATATATATATATATATATATATATATATATATATATATATATATATATATATATATATATATGTATATATATATATATATATATATATATATATATATATATATATATATATATATATATATATATATATATATATATATATGTATATATATATTTTGTATATATATATATATATATATATATATATATATATATATATATATATATATATATATATATGTATATATATATATATATACATATATATATATATATATATATATATATATATATATATATATATATATATATATATATATATATATATATATTTTCCATATATATATAGACATATATATATATATATATATATATATATATATATATATATATATATATATATATATATATATATATATATATATATGTATATATACATACATATATATATATATATATATATATATATATATATATATATATATATATATATATATATATATATATATATATATATATATATATATATATATAAAGAGAGAGACAGAGAGAGATACAGAGAGAGAGCAAGAGAAAGAGAAAATCTAAAGAGAGGGAATTAGAGAAACGAGGAAAAGGTGACCGCATTTATATGACCTAACATGGCAGCAAAAAGCGCTGATAGTCGACCTTTCAACGGCGCGCTCTCTCAGTTCCTGCCAGGGGGAAAAAAGCTCTTAATTTATGTCATTAAAACTCACATCAGCCTAATTGGACCTGATACAGCTAATTATCTACACGCTTTCTCACTCGGCAGCTCACGATCCAATGCTGTAGGAAAAATGGTGAAGTCTCTATCTCTTTTTATCCCATCTCTCTCTCTCTCTCTCTCTCTGCCTAACTCTCTCTCCTTTCTACTTCCTCTCTCCTTTCTTCTTCATCCTATCTATCCCCAGTCTATATCCGTCCTTCTTCTTTCCCGCCTTCATTCTCTTTCCTCTTCACCTTTCCCCTTTCTCTAACCTCCTCCTCCCCCCTTCCCCTTTCTCTTACCTCCTCCTCCTCCCCCACCCTTTTTTTCCTTCCTCTTTCTCTAACCTCCTCCTCCTCCCCCTTCCTCTCCTTCCTCCTACCTCCTCTCCCATCCTCTTTTCCCTTCCCCTTCCTCCTCCTCCTCCTCTCCCTTCCTCTCCCTCCTCCTCCTCCCCCCTTCCTCTCCCTTCCTCCCCTTCCTCCTACCTCCTCCTCCTCCTCCTTCCCCTTCCTCTCCTTCCTCCTACCTCTCCTTCCTCCTACCTCCTCCTCCTCTTCCTCCCCCTTCCTCTCCTTCCTCCTACCTCCTCCTCTTCCTCCCCCTTCCTCTCCTTCCTCTTACCTCCTCCTCCTCCTCCCCCCCTTCCTCTCCTTCCTCCTACCTCCTCCTCCTCCCCCCCTTCCTCTCCCTCCTCCTACCTCCTCCTCCTCCTCCCCCTTCCTCTCCTTCCTCCTACCTCCTCCTCCTCCTCCTCCCCCCCTTCCTCTCCTTCCTCCTACCTCCTCCTCCTCCTCCCCCCCCTTCCTCTCCTTCCTCCTACCTCCTACCTCCTCCTCCTCCCCTCCTCTCCTCCTCCTCCTCCCCCCTTCCTCCTCCTCCTACCTCCTCCTCCTCCTCCCCCCCCTTCCTCTCCTTCCTCCTACCTCCTCCTCCTCCCCCCCCTTCCTCTCCTCCTCCTCCTACCTCCTACCTCCTCCTCCTCCCCCTTCCTCTCTCTCCTCCTCCTCCCCTCTTCCTCTCCTTCCTCCTACCTCCTCCTCCTCCTCCCCCTCGTCCTCTCCTTCCATCTTCCGCCGCCTATAGGAGTCTAGAGTAGCAGAAAGTATTCGGAAATTAATGATGCCTTCGAGGGACTGGGTGTTTGATTTTTCTCCTTAAACGGGTTGGGAAATTGCTCCTTTGCGCGGAGAGAAAGGGAGGAGGGAGAGGGTGAAAGAGGATGGGGAAGAAGGAAATGAAAGAAGGAGGATGAAAGAGGATGGGGAAGAAGGAGATGAAAGAAGGAGGGTGAAATAAGAAGACGGGGGAGGAAGAAGATGAAAGGAGGAGGGTGAAATATGAAGACGAGGGAGGAAGAAGATGAAAGGAGGAGGGAGAGGATGAAAGAGGATGGGGAAGAAGAAGATGAAAGAAGGAGGATGAAATAAGAAGACGGGGAGGAGGAAGATGAAAGGAGGAAGGTGAAATAAGAAGACGGGGAGGAGGAAGATGAAAGGAGGAGGGTGAAGTAAGAAGACGGGGGAGGAAGAAGATGAAAGGAGGAGGGAGAGGATGAAAGAGGATGGGGAAGAAGAAGATGAAAGAAGGAGGGTGAAATAAGAAGACGGGGAGGAGGAAGATGAAAGGAGGAAGGTGAAATAAGAAGACGGGGAGGAAGAAGATGAAATGAGAAGATGGGGAGGAAGAGAGTGAAAGAAGAGGGTGGGGGTAAAGATGAAATAAGAAGATGGGGAGGAGGATGATATGGAAGAAGAAGAAGATGGGGGAAAAGAGAAAGAGAAGGAAGAGAAGGAGGGGGGGAGGAGAGGAAGAGGAGGATGGAGATGGGGTAGGAAAGCAAGTGAAGGGAGAGGAGGAGATAGATAGGGAAGAAGGGAAATAGGAGGAAGATGGGGAAGAAGAGCAGGATAAGAAAGAGGGGAGAGAAGAAAAGGAGGAGGAGGAAGGTGGGGAGGAAGAGCAAGTGAAGAAAGAGGAGGTAGAGGAAGATGGGATAGAAAAGATGGAGGAGGAAGATGGAGAGAGAAGAGATGATAGAGAGGAAGAGCCAGGGATAGGTCGATAGCTGGACAAAGCTTAGGAATGTTGTCATAGTAATAGTAATGATGATAATCATAATGATAATAAACAATTATAATAATAACAACATCAATAGTAATAGTGAAAATAATAAAGGTAACAATAATAACAAAAAGAAAGAAAGAGAGAAAGAAAACAGCCAAAGAGAAGAGAGAAGAGACACAAAGTGCCTTCTATCCTGAAATTACCAAAGTCGACATTATGAGGCACATAATTATGCAAATGACCTCAAGGGATTTTGGGGAAAGGGGGGACATATTAGCTGTGTTAACCGTTTGCGTTTTTTTTTTTTCCTTTTTTTTTTTGTAATGAAGAGCTTATCGGAATTTTTAAAGCGTCTTGTAGTCCCATGATGCCGACTTTTTTTTTTAAGAGGGGGAAAAAACCCTTTTTTTTTCAGTTTCTTTAATGAGCCTTTTGATCTGTTCCATTAGAAATTGATAAGTGAACATGAAAAAAGAGAGGATTATTGAAATTTGGAACGCTGGGAATTGGAGGGTTAATACCATCAGCCGGTAACAGCAAGGACAGCAAAAATAAATCTTATATTATCCCTATTAATTGAACAATGCACAGATGGACAATAACAGCAAAAACAGCAGTAGCAAGAATATCAGGAAAACTACAAACATAATGTTATGACTACTCCAGCTGATACAACAATATACACATATCTACATAACTTAATACACAAAATCTTCAATTACATTC